GAGCAGACTACACAACTCTCTACTCATGTTAACAGAAAAGAGCTTCTTTCCAATGTTATGAAAAGGACCTCTGAATGGTATTCTATCTTCACTTATAATTTTTCCCTTTTTTGTTGTTTCTCATTGTTCTTTTCCATCTACTCTTTATGCAGTTTTTTCTATGAATTAAGGAGTGACCTTTTTATAATTAATATCTACAGGATTTTATCCCAGGATATCCCAAGTGATATAACTATTCATGTTGGAAGAACTTTTTCTCTGCACAAGGTACATTAGAACAAGTTCCAAATTATTACAACAACTCCATCAAGATTGTACTTTTCAGTAACTAGTTATACTTATCATTAGCAGTTCCTCTAGTTATCTTTTAGGCGATTTAATAGTGGAAGGATTATTTTGGTATATTACATAAACACACACTCAAATTTGGCCTCAACTAACAAGTAAAACACTCTAACTTTGGGAGTGTACATCTAGACACCTCAACTTGTCTCTACTATGTCAGTTGAACACTCCAACTTACAAAATGACCATCTAGGCACCTCCAAAATTTATGTATCATGTTAGTGCCGGGTGTCCACGAGGCACGGTGGGGACGAGTTGGAGTGTTAGTTGCCAGGTGAGACCAAGTTGGGGTGTCTCGATGTGTACTCTCAAAGTTGGAGTGCTTACTTGCCAGCATATGCCAAGTTTGAAATATGTTTGTTTATGTATTATGTCTCATTCTTTATATTATCGGTGTATAGAAGTTAAACTTTCAACTAAAGGTGCAATCTTTGATGTGTACATGCAGTTCCCACTAGTCTCAAAGTGTGGATACATAAGGAAGTTGGTCTCAAAATCCAGTGATGCTAAGCTTTCTGCAATTGAAATCCCTGACATTCCTGGAGGAGCAGAGGCATTTGAACTTGCAGCAAAATTTTGTTATGATATAAACTTTGAGATAAACCCAGAAAACATTGCATTGATTAGATGTGTGGCAGAATATCTTGAGATGACAGATGAGTATGCAGTTGGAAATTTGGTAGGATTAACAGAGGCCTACTTAAATGAAGTAGGACTTAAGAGTATTGCAAGTTCAGTTTCCATTTTACACTCTTCAGAAAAGCTTCTTCCCATTGCAGAAGATATAAAATTAGTGAACAGAAGCATAGACACAATTGCATATATAGTCTGCAAGGACAGCCAATATGGCTTGAATTCCTCCACATTTGATTGGTGGGCTGAGGATTTAACTGTCCTAGGAATTGAGTTTTTCCAAAGGGTTTTGATTGCTATGATGGCAAGGGGATTCAAACAGTATGCACTTGGACCAATATTAACGCTCTACGCGCAGAAATCCCTTGGAGGTTTGGTGAGGTCTCATCCCTTCAATAGTCCTTTATGCTTGGAGGTTGGTCTAATACATTCTTTTAAACATATACATGAGCAACTTTAGTTCTTTATGTTAACAAAAACTAAGCACATTTGGCTTCTGTTATATTTAAAACACACGGCAGTAGTTGTTAAAGACAATAAGGTCGTGTGTTTCAAGTATAACAGAAACCAAAAGTGCACAGTTTTAATAAACACAAAGGACTTAAACTGCTTAAGTGTATATCTAAAGGATTATTTTAGACCAAGCACCAAACATAAGGGAGTAATTTTCTTTGTTAAGTGAAATATTTGTTAATATGATTATCTTGTCATTCCAGGATATATCAGGAAAAGGGAGGAAACAGATTGAGGCAAGAATAGAACATGAAAAGAGGGCGGTTTTAGAAACTATTGTTAGTCTTTTGCCAAGGGAGAAAAATGCTTTGTCAGTTAGCTTTCTCTCATTGCTTCTCCGAGCTGCAATATATCTAGAAACCACAGTTTCTTGCAGGGTTGATTTGGAGAGGAGAATGTCATTGCAACTTGGACAGGCCGTATTAGATGATGTATTATTTCCTTCATATTCATTGCCAGGGGGTACATTCTTTGATGTTGAAACTGTGAAACATATTATGATGAATTTCCTAGAGTATGAAATGGTGGGAAATCAATTAGGCTTCAACGATGAAGAGAATGTGTTTCCATCAGCAAGTGACATGGAGAAAGTTGGGAAACTAATGCAAGATTACCTTGCTGAAATTGCCTCTGACAGTAATCTCTCTGTTTCAGAGTTTATTAGTGTTGCTGAAGTCGCTCCAGAGCAATTAAGGATCACAGAAGATATGATGTACAAGGCCATTGACGTGTATTTGAAGGTATGCACGTTGAATCTTTGATACCAACTACCAAATAGTACTTTCTCCGTTTCAATATGTTTGTCTGGTTTTGACTTGACACTGAGTTTAAGAAAGTAGTGTAGACTTTTGAATCTTTTGTGGTGTTAAACTAAAGATATGTAGAATGTACCAAAATGTCCATTAATCTTGTAGTCTTAAACATGTCAGGTGAAAAGTTGAAAATAAGGAATTGCCAGAAAGCAAAAGAGACGTTCTTTTTGAAAGAGACGAAAAAAGGAAAGTAAGACAAACAAATTGAAATGGAAGGAGTAATCTTTATAATCAACTGGTTTAGTACCTTGATTGACATATGTTCTTAAGTGACATAAGGATTTATTGATTGCACCCGAAAATGTTGTTGTTTGGGATGTGAAGTAGTATTTGAATCATTATGATTTCTTGTATAAATTCATTAAGGGTCTAATTCAGTTAAGTGACAAAATATTTTTGCAGTATACAAATGATACTAAGGGAGATTGCATCTTTCTGCCTAAGCATTTACAAGATCTTAAACATGTTCATGTTCTGTATCGATGTTCTTTTAAGTGTGTCATTTGTAGATCAAAAGTACTGTTCAACAATCAGTTTCATTTGATAAGGTTTATAGTTTAGCTGCAGAAAGAAAAGGGTTTTGCAACTAATTTGCATCTTCTTGATGCCTTCAATGGAACATTTACTTCATCAAAAAAAAAAAAAAAAAGGGTTTTGAAACTTCAAATCATGCTATTCTATACCCACGTTGCTATATCAGGATAGCTACGAAGAATTATCTACTGTTGTATGTCACTTTAACATGATAATATAAGAAAAATTATATATATTGTGAACTCATATAACTAAAAATCCAAAGTAAATAACCCTGTCAGAGATACCTGTCACTAATCTTCTAGCTTTTGCACAATTTGAAGGCACATCCAGCTCTAAGTGATGTTGAGAGGAAAAAAGTTTGCAGTGTTATGAACTGTCAAAAGCTAACTCGAGAAGCTTGTGCTCACGCTGCTCAGAATGAGAGGCTCCCTGTTCAGATTGTTGTGCAAGTGCTTTACTATGAGCAACAACGCCTTCGCGAAGTAATGGATGGTAGTTTAGTAGGGGCAGATCCTCCTTCTCGTCCACCTAAATTCAATTGGTTCTCCAGTGGCATTTCTCCTGTTACAGACGAAGTCTCAAGTCTAAAAAGAGAAAATCAGGATCTCAAATTTGAGCTTATGAAATTGAAAATGAAGTGCAGAGAAATTGAAAAACGTGATGACAAATCAGCAGCTAGCACCCCTTTGGGGATCACTACTCCACCTTCTGATAAGCCTCGTTTGCCACGAAAATCTTTCATAACTGCCGTATCCAGAAAGCTTGGGAAACTGTATCCATCATTTGGAGCTGATGAAGTCACAATTCCATCGCCCAGCAAAAGGAAAAACAAACCAAGTAGAGATAGGCGTAATTCCATATCATGATGCAACTATATTTTCATTAGGTTGTTTGTTCTTCTTTGTTTTAATGTTTCTGCGAGTCATGTTGTTATATATAAGTATTTAACTTATGCTTTAATCATAGGTCCTGTGATATTTCTTGCTAGGCTATTCTGATTGTAATGGCTATTGGTCTAATCTAATATGCCATTATAGAAGCCACAAACTTTATCTGATATATTTCAGGTAAGAACAGAAGGATTTATCATTTATACTGTACTCTATGAAAGAACTCCATCCCAGCTATCTCACCACACACTACAAATTGAGTTCTTATCATCCGCGTTTTCAAAAGGAAAACATCAGTGCATGATGAGAGACTGTATTCCAGATCCATAATGAGACATTAAGGTACTAATTTAGGAAACAGCAGACAAGAGGTTAATATAGTATGCGTTAAATAAATAACTCCATTAACAAAGATCAAAGCAGACAGTTAAGCGACCTGATGGGAAAGAAGGAAAAGACAAGTCTTTAAGAGTGGATAGACTGTCCACCCAGTGCTGCTATCCACTTCTATTAAGACGGGGCTTAAATGGAGCAAGAGACTTGAAGGCAGCAACCAGAATGAAATATTAACTAATCGTGGAAATGTTGATGTCAGGCGCACCTATCAGAATCGGAACATACCAATTACCAAGGCCACCTAGCATTACTTGTCATTGCTTTATAACCATAAAAAAAGATAATTAAAATTGTTGGACTTACCGAAAGCAGTCTGCGCATTTCTTTAGCCCTCAGCTTAAATCTCTATCTTTCCATATCAACTCGACTCCTAGCCATACGCCACTCCAGATCTTGCGATCTTACTTTAAGAGTAGGGGATCAAATGTACACATCATCCAAAAAGGGCTACAAGTGTAAATGATCCTTCTACCTGACAATTCCACTTTAAAACCAACTATACAAAAATGGCACAGCTTTTTTCTCCACTTCTCTTTTCCCTTTGAAGGAAGGGACAAAAGAAGAGAATATAAGATCCCATTTGGCTATAGATTTTGGGAATATATTTCCAGAAATATTGAAAACATAGTGTGTTCATGAAATTTGGTTAGTTTTTGAAAATTTATCTTCGAAAAAATTTCAAGTTCCAAAAATTGTCCCAGATCCCAGACCAGTTTCTGGGTGAAATTTCACTTCCCCTCACAAAACTTAAAAAAAATTCTTAGTAAAATGCATGTCCAAACACAACTTCAAGTTCCAAAAACTCTTTTTTTTTTCAAGTTTCAACTAAATCTTTGACCAAACGCTAGCTAAGTAAATAATGGTACAGAGAGGTAAGAAATTAAACTTTATTAACAAACAACAGTCAGTTACATGAAAGACTAAACTATGAGTTAAAGAAGACTACTTAACTCTATTTGTAATGGCTACAATCTTATAAGTATTGATATCTTGCTACTTTATGAGGTAATAATAACTCTCAATTTAGAAATAATCAGCTCTTAGATGTATACACAACCTAACCTTGATCCAAAATTTTGCATAGCTCTAAACGACGTTGAAGCTTTATTACTGCTTATATAAACTGCATCAGCATCACTGGTTGAGCGACTTTTAAAATCACAACTCAAGTCATCACTTTCAGATGGACTTGGAATTGCAACGACACCAATATCAATGCACTAATTGATCAATGGTTCTTTGTATCCATGCAAGGAAATTTTCTCAAGCTGTATTTGGCTATCTTCCCCCAGTATCCTGGGATTCAACTCCATTGCAGAGCGAAAATCCAGTATTGAAACAGAAAAGAGATCACTCGGTTTCTGAATGTACTTCATGGGCCTCGTTTTATTTGAAACTGAAACAGCTTGGTCATGGATGCGCTTGTGTTGTGACTTTGACCTTGCTAAGTCCAAACAAGGTTTTATTAATCTCTTTAGAAAAACATCAAGCCCATTATTCAACACATTTATGGCATCTGTTGATATCTGTACGCCTTCTGTCTCCGACTTTTGTTCCAACCATTTCTTTAGAGAGTTGGAGTCTGGCAACTCACGAGTGCTATTACAAGTTTCAGTACCGTGTAAAAGGCCTGATCTGTGACATACAACTTTCCTTGTTCCCCTACCACTCAGGGAGATGCCAAGGGGAGCAGTTACATGGCTTCTACTATGAATGCTACCCAATGGTAGCAACTCAGTAGCACTTTGATGCTCTCGTGTTTTTGGTGCATTATCTTCAGCAGAATGGGTTTTCCAATGAGGCCGCGGAGGACATGCCCGGTCCTTGAATCGACGATCACGAAGAGTAGGAGTTCTCCCCTTTCTAGGAGACTGAGGAAACACATCCCTGCATAGTGACTGGAGAGTGCCTCCTTGATATCCATTTGGAACTTTGACATTAAATGAAGGCTGCATTGTGCCATTCTTCGGTGGAGGTGTCTTAGCTGCACAGGCATTTTTTATAATTGCTCGCATAAGTGCATTATGAAGGCAGATATTATCTCTCCCCAACAAACCAATGCAGAACTTCTCAAACTCTGACTTGTTAAGCTTTAGACTCAAGTATTTGCTTAACGCAGTAAAATATTTCTCTGCCTTTTGTTGACCAATCTTCCTTTCAAGCCGAAGCTTCAGCTGATAAGTGTCAATTCGGGGGCAATGCCGATTTGTGGGCATTCTCACTCCCGTATTCACTTCGAACACTGAACAGAAGCAATTAAATAATCAGGGAAAGTACCATGAAATCAATAAAATAAAGAGCACCTCTGCTCAATCAATTAACAAAGCCGATCACAGCAGCAAAATCCACTGTATGTGTTCCCTATATCCTGTGTAATCCAATTCTGCAAGAAAACCTGTAAACAAAAGAAGAAAAATGAATCAATATGTATTTCCAATTGCAACAATGATTTATAATCTTCTAAATTCCATATTTTCAACTGAAAGAAATGAAACAAAGTAAAGAGTTCATAACTTGGGTAAGAAGTCGCTACTGCACTCTCAATCCAAATATCCAATGAAGAAGCACATATAAGCAAGACAAATCTTTGTCTTTTTCTATACACAAATTTGGAAGGCTCCATGTGATAGTACTCCACCTCATGAAGAATTTAAGTAAAACTATGTTTTAGTGCCTGCTTACACGCACCTCAACTAATTCCACGGAATACCTGACACCTCCCACCACCTACAGGTACTAAATATCTCTAAATATCTCTATGCACCAAAGCTAGAACATATTAAAAAAAGTCACCTAGTGTTTTATCTCTATTGGAATTTGAACCTGAGACTTCGTGACGCTCAAACCGCTTCATTGACTAGGTCACACCCTTAGTCAAAATTTGTAGTTATAGAAATCAAAAGCACAGAGGATCGACGGTTCATTGTCCACTACTTAATCTTTTCACTCCTTAATCCTCATCCTCAAGAAATCCCTCATTCTATTTGGCTAGAATGTGTTAAAACATATACTGATCAGTCAGTCACATTACATAGACTTAATTTCATTATCTGAGCAACAAAAAGATATAATCATACACACACCAAAAAAACAAACAAACTTGTTTTTAAGTTCTAGTAAGGAGCAAGCCAGAGTAAAACAGATAAACTCATAATTAAACACATTGTAATACAAACAGGTTAGTCCAAAATACTAAGCATATTCCAAAATTGACACTAAATTTTGCAAGAAACAGTAAAAATAAGTAACAAAAACTGAAAAGAAACGAACTTTACTACACCCCAAGTGAAATTATGGAGTTCAAATTCAAACCCATTAGAGTAATCACGATCAAAACCTCAATGGAACTCAAAACAGTAAAAAAAAACATAGTAATTAGAAAAAAGAAGAGAGAAGAAAAGTTACCTGAGCTAATGAAGTAGTAATGTAATGGAGAAAAGTGAGGTCCAAAGTTCAATTTTGGAGCTTGGACGGAAGATTAGGGCTTGTAAGCTGAATTTTTCGAAGCTTCTGCGGGGAAGTCAAAGGAAAGTCAAAGACACGTGCGGCTTTACAGGTGTGGTGTAGTGAATGAGTCGTATGTTGTTTTTATTTGGATTGGTTTTTTTAAGGATTAAGTCATTAGGCTCTGTTTGCAACTTGGAACTTGGAACTTGCCAATATGTAAAGTTTTTTTGAGTTTGACTAAGCACACATAAGTCAGCTAGTTGCTGGAGTGGTCGGTTCCAAAAACTATGAGTAGCAATAATACCAAGAGTGTGTGGGGTGGGGGGGGGAGGAGGAATATATTACTATGACTAAATTATTCTTATTTATTATTTGATTTCAATTTAATATTATTCTCTTTTTATGTTTATTGAGTAAAGGTAAAGGTGGAAATTAGGCATTCTTTTGTTTTAGGGATAAGGGTCTGAAAAATATTTCAATTTTGGTCGAATTTATTGTTGCGATACTAAACTTTCATGAGGACCTATTACCTCCCTAGACTATTTAATATCGTATTTTAAACATATATATTTGCCCACGTGGACATAAAAAATAATGTAAAATTATAAATAGTAATCTGTCCACGTGGGCACATATATACCTTTAAAATACATTATTAAATAGTTCAGGGGGTAAAAAATATGGTATTAAATAGTCTAGGGAGGTAATAGGTCCTCATGAAAGTTTAGTATCGCAACAACAAATTCGACCAAGGTTGGGATATTTTTCAGACCCTTATCCCTTTGTTTTATATTGTTTGATTTATATTGACTTAATACAATCCTTAAGAAGTATTTTATTAGGAGTGTGTTTTATTTTCTTTTATTTATTTTTGTTTGTTCACTTTAAACTTTGCAAGTTCCTTGAGAAGCAATGATTGATGTGAGTATTTTACTATAATACTCATATTAATTGATGTTTAGTTCGTCGTTGATTTTATTTTTATGTGGTACTGTATGATTTGGACGGTGTCTAAGAAAAAAAAAGACTTTTGAAATTTGTGGTTCAAAACAATTTTTAAATATTTGTGTGACTGTAGATCATTTCATTAAAGAGTAGTTTAGTGTGAGGTATAAGATATAATAATCTCATAATAAAATATAATTTTTTTTTGTCATGTGCTTGGTAGGAGTTGTTAGGTAGTCATGAAATTATTTATCTCACCAACTTATACCATAGTGATGAGATAAATTATCTTATATACATGATGGGATAACTTATTTGGGGGTGGTTAATCTCAAGATAACTTATTCTCAACCAAACGACCACTAAAGGTTAAAAGAGAAATTTAAATGTTACCATATTTCTAATTATATTAAGGTGACATTTTTTTAGCCTTCAAATAAGAATAAATTATTTCTCAACTTTTAAATTTATTTTACTTCTATTAACATCTTAGTTAAATATCTTTTTTTTCCTCATTACTTAATAATTTTCTTTTAAAGCTGCTGATATTTTTGTATAATCATGTTAAGTGATACTACTATAATTACACTTTTTCTTAAAAAGCATCCTAAAAGAAAAAAAAAACTTCCAACAAATATTCATAAATAACTCTCATGTTGAAGGGAGAACTAGTTTTATAGGTCATATAATTTTTCGTTTTTTTTAGCTTTATGATATTTTTTTAAAAAAAAGAAATTTTCATTTTTACCGATAAAAAAATTAAAAAGGACATTTCTTTTATTGATTTATAAGTAGCTAAAAAATTTTAATTTCTGCCTATTTGAATGTGACAGAACTAGGCAGAGGCTCAGAGCCACCTGATATAGTAAAAGCGTATAAGGATAAAAAAAATTATCATGCATTTGATCAAAAATATTAATTAATTTTAAAATTGTTTTATCTTATTATTTACATTAAGTATAGAAACAAACTATCATATATAGAAAGTGCGATAATTAATTTCATGTATTATCGATATATTTCTATTATATAGAAGAGTGAAGACGACCAGGACGACCAAGGGTACTTTTGTCAATTTAATAAAATTTCAAGCTTAACTTAATTGTACATTTTGCATTGAGAGTATTGAACATTCCAAAAAAACCAGCCAAAAGTTATGTAATTTCCACTTTATCCACCATTAAGTTGTTGATTTCCATTGTCACACGTGTACAACACATTGGGAGGAGTAAAAGAAATTAATGCAAAGTTAAAACATGGACCCATTTTTTACTCACGTCAAAGGTCTATGCATTCAAGACCACACATTTTTTTTTTAAAAAATAAAAATAATTAATTTGAGTTCATATTTATTTTTAAATGTACTTACTACTTTTAATGAGATTTTTTTCATATTCAAAATTTGAATTCGAGGCCTTTTAATCATTTACTTTCTTAATCTGGTTCGGTCATGAAAATATAGTTTTTATTTTATTAAAAAAATGTATAATTAAAGTCGTGTTTGGTTAAATTTTATATAAAAATATAAATATATTTTTCTAAAATGCATAAAATATAAATATGTCATTTAATTTGGTTTCATTTAACATCAGTGTCCTCCAATTTTGAATGTGCATAGTAGACACAAAAATTTGTATAGAAATGGACAAGTAGACACATGTGTCCTACTTGACGTCCTACGCGGCGATATAATTCATGTCCTATGCGAGATTCTATGTAGCGTCTTACGTGAATTATGTCTCGTAGGACACGTTTGTCTACTTGTTCAACTTTATATTTTTATCTATTTTTCTATTCTATTATATAGAAGAGTGAAGACGATCAGGACGACCAGGGGCACTTTTGTCATTTTACCAAAATTATCAGCTTAAAGCAATTGTACTTTCTGCTGCAAAATTATTGAATTTCCTAGATTACCTAACCAAGTTGCTATTATTATGATGGTCACGTGTACTTTCTATCTTGAAAAGCATAAAAATATCATAAGTAGCCGTACTATCTAAAAATGATGGGACCCATTTATTAAATCAATTTATATTTCATTAACACCTTTACTTTTTGCACTAAAATAAATATAAAAAGAAACAAACATGATTTAAAATGTATTAAAAAATAAAAATAAGTAGCCGTACTATCTAAAAATGGTGGGACCCATTTATTAAATCAATTTATATTTCATTAACACCTTTACTTTTTGCACTAAAATAAATATAAAAAGAAACAAACATGATTTAAAATGTATTAAAAAATAAAAATATTTACATAAAAATAAAAATTAATAAATAAAATGGATAGATAAATTAAATGAAATTAAAGTAAACTAAGAAACTAACTAAATTTTTAAATAAATAGTTTTAAAATTTTGCGAATCAAATATTAAAGAGAAATAATAAGTATTTTTCGTGTTCAATTTACATACATTAATGATAAGAATATTTTGATAATAGAATATTTTAAATTTTAAGATTAATCAAATTGTTTACTTGATTTACTTAATATTGCTATTCTTTTGTTTGAAATAGGAAGTTAAGAATCGGAACACATGAAAAATCAATACATTAATTAGAGAAGTAAAATAAATTTAAGTAGATTAATATTTAGAAAGAGATGACAAAAATAGCAAATGATTAATAGTAATTTTAAAAATTATGAATAAATTTTGGAATAAGATAAAATATCTGGATGAGGAAATCAATACGATATGTAATGATCTATGTATTAAAATATCATGCTAATTTAACATGTAATTCTAAATAGATTTTTTTAAAACAAAGAAAATGCATTTATGTTTTCAGATTGTTTGAAATTTTTTCACTAAACTGATAAAAATAACAAAAATATTTGTTCCTATAAGTTATTGTGCATGAAAAAAGAGAACCAAAAACACATTTGTATCATGCTAAAAAAATTATGTTCATTAAGACAAATTATGCATATATAGAACTTCATGTAATAGTGAAACTTGCTTCTTAGTTCTAATTTTTATGTATGAGTGATAAATACAAAATATTAATCTCTCTGTGTTAATGTGTTTGTTCTATATTGACTTGGCATGAAATTTAAGAAATTAAGGAAGATTTTTGAATCTTGTGATTTTAAATATGTAAAATATAGTAAATGTCTTTTAATCTTGTGATCTTAAATATGTTATGTGGAGTTGGAACTAAGAAAAGAAAAGGGACATTACTTTTTAATAGATTATAAAGAAAAATTCGACAATTTAATTGAAATGAATAGGATAGATTTCAAGATGATAATACATAATGATTCATGATTTTTATATAAGATATAATCCAATCTAACAGACAAATTAACTCTGAATCCTACTAAATTTGTGTCTTATAGTAATATAAATAAATAAATTGAATATTATACTTCAGAGTTTTACAACTTAAAAAATGAATCTACCCATCGCTAATATCAATTATACTTTAAAATATTATTGGGTTAATTTAATTTAATATGTTTATTCAGTATTCGATATTTATATTGGAGTTGCCCATTCGGATATAGAGCTTTCTATTATGAATTTTTTTCATATCCAAAACTCAAAATTAAGATATTTAATTAAGGAAGAAGAAACACCATTCAATGCACTATATTCTTTTATGGTTATTTTTTTATATTTTTTAATACTAAATTTTTTACTAGGATCAATATTAATTAATGTTGATCAGAATGTTATAGAAATACCTTTTAATATTTGTCAAATAATGATTAATAATTGATTATATTGGGCCCGTATCACGGGCCTTAAAAATCTAGTAGCTATAAATATACTTATTATTGCATCTCAACAACCAAACGATTCGTATGTAGTCAAACTTATTTAATTAGTATTATCACATATGATGTGTTAGACTACCCAAGTACCTGACCTCCCCTTCTTCCATGTAGTGGCCAGTGGCGTACGTAGGATTTTTTTATAAGGGGTATCACCTTTTTAAATAAAAAATAATGAATAAAATAATGTGATATCATATTATTTTTATAAAAAAGAACAAAATATGAATAAAATACAATTCGCGCTTAATACTATACATTTTCTAAAAAAGATATTTTTAAAAAATTACTAAAAAATTCATGACTTTTTTTATTTTGGAATGTATTCAAAATATTTTTTTAAAATTAATACTATTAAATATTTCAGAAATTGTTCTTAACTTATTGGTGAGAAAGAA